TTAATTAAATAACAATATAATAATGATTATATTAAAATACTAATTTAAATAATTATAAAAATAGATATATTTACTATTTTTAAAATAATTAAAAATCTACTTAATATTTTTAAATTAAAGAGAATTCAATTCCGCTCGATTCGACATATTGTGCGTGCGAAACAGACAAGAAATAAATTTTTTATGAATTTTTGAAATTAAAATAGCTTAAAATCGATTAAATCAATTAGATAATCCCAGAAATTCCTCGGCGCGACAAGTGGCGGAACCGGGTTGGTCCCGCAATCATTGCCACTTATCCACGTAGGCAAGATCGGGATCCGCTGTTCGGCCCAAACACAAAACAGCGAGATCGTAGCCGTTGATCTCAAAATCAACGGCTGCGATTTCATGCAGATCAATAAGAAGAACCGAAACCCTAGAATAGTATTTCGCTTCGTTCTCTCAAAATACTCGATGGATTCATACGAAATTTTAAACATATGATCTAGGCATGTACAGAAATCATGGGGAACGTTTGGATCAACTTATAAAGTGCTTTACAAAAAGCTATTTAACCCTAAGTATTGTGACCTATTCTAAGGGATTTTGAGAGATCTAACCGTCCGATTTTCGCGTTCTTGGGCTCGTTGGATTCGTTGAAGCGGCAGAAATATTTCTCTAGTTGACCTCAAGATCTGAATCTCCTTGGATTGAGCGGTAGAAGCCCCGAAAGGAACGTGGTGCTCGGTTTCGTCGGAGTACTCGCCGCCGGCGGGCTGGGATGGTCGGAATCTGATCGGGGATGGAAGTGGAAATCTGCAGGAGCCCTCACAAGAAATCTCAGAGCAAAATAAGACCTCGAGCTCGAGCAAGAAAAAAAAGATCCCGATTTAGACAAAAATTTTTATATTTAAGGGGCCTAAACCTATCCTCAATGGTTGGGATCGAATCCCCAGCTAATTGGGAGGGAAACCAGGCTATTTAGGCCGTGGTTTGAATTTCAAAACGTTTTGGAGGCATTAATGGCATTAATTGGGTCTTAATTGGGCTCTAAATAGGTGATTTTCACCTATTTAAGACTTGGTTTGACCAAGTCAACGGTTGACTTGGTCAAACCAGTCAAGAGGGTCAAGGGAGCCCCTGGGTCGAGCCTCGAAGCGGATTCGATTTGATTTGGATTCGAATTGGATTTGATTTGGGCTCAAAAAGGCCTTAATGGGTCAAAATTGACCCAATAAGCATAGGGTTGACCAAGTCAAAGATTGACTTGGTCAACTCAGTTCTCCATGCCCATGTTTGGGCAAAATCGAGGTCAACAATCATATTTAATACATAAGGGACATTTTAAAATATTTAAATATGATCCATTTAGACAAATGATTTTATTTTAGAAAATAGCCCGGGATTTCATTTAAGGGCCTACGAACGCCTTCTGTCCACTTGTACACATATTGCGGATCCGGTGGCGTAGAGCTTTCTAGACTTCAATTATTGCATTTAGTTTGTTTTAACTCCTCTAAATGTCACTTAGCACAACTCGTAGAGGGTGTTTGCTCAATCCCCACTACTAGATCATGCTCGTAGAAGAATTATCTTGCTTGCTACAAATTCCTCTATTCTTTCCCGTAGGAGATCGTGTTAATATTCATAGAAGAATTATCTTGCTTGTTATAAGTTCTTCTATTCTCTCCCATAAATAGACTGATTTATTTGATACAATCTTTTTGTTCTTGTTTGCAAATTTGTTGTTGTGGGCACTACAAATTTCCTAATCCTCCTCAAAGGTGAATTGTAGTATACTTGTAGTGGTATTATAAATTATCTATTCTCATTTATAGGTAAATTATAATATGCCGCTCACAAGTTTGTTAAATATTGCTCATATAACAGCACAACAAACTATATTCATTACAAATCATTCGTTGTTGAGGGTGACCTAGACAATTTTTAATTTCTTTGAGTATAAGGTCTTAATGATATATGAGAAATATTAGCTCTTCGAATCATCAAATTGTGATTTTTTTTTTTATTGTTAAACACAATTATACACTGCTCATTAAGGTTTTCTGTAACTCTTATGATTTCTTCACATGCATGGATGATTAGGTCCTTCTACATAACTATAAGATTTGGGAGGGCTTTATTCACTTCTACATAGACTCTGAGAGGTACCTAGCCTTAACATATATCTATCTATAGAAAGAAAATATAAGTCTATCTCCACATAACATGGGATTTTCCAAATAACTTTTATAAGGGAATTTAAAGAAGTTCTTTATTGCAGGATATCAAATGACAGTTAAATGTCAAATGCTCTATTATATATATTTTCTGAAATTGGAATATGTAGGATATATTCAACTTATCCACGTAAAGTTTATTCCACCAAAAAAAAGCTCGTTCATATGAGATAAATTAAATACTAATTGCTTTCCAATTTGTTGTGTACCCATTGATATATGGTAACATTATTAATCCCTTCCAATATGAGAAATTCATGATTTTATAGCGATTCATGCACTTTTGTTATCTCGTTGAGTGTGAGATCCTAATGAAAATTCAATTTGAATGTATCATATATCGAGTAAAATTTAGAAATTGAATTCAGATTTGAGTCCAGCTCGAGTGTAGGTCAAGGATTATTCGATCAAATTTTATTTAGAATTGATTTTAAATTTGAATTATGAAATTTCAAATTAATTAAATTAAATTGTTCAATTGAATGTTCTCCAATTTGTTTGTATGCATTAAATAGTAGATTTTCCTAGGTTTTGAGTATCTTGAATTTGGCTGAAATTTGAGATCTCTTAGATTTAGGTTTTCTTTGGGCTCTAGCGGCGTCTAGAGATTTGGGAGAGATCGATCCTCCTCTCGAATTGAGGATCAATTGTATCTTTTCTATTTTCTTTGATTTCTATTGAAATACAAGTAATATCTTGTGTTTTTCTCCTGTTTTTCCCTATTTCCTGCTGCGTTTTCATCAAATTCCTGCTGTTTTGCTGCTGTGGACAGCAGTTGGCTGCTGTAATTTTACGGGTTTGGGATAGAAACACTTGCGAATCCAAGTGTTTCCTATCAGAGTCATATGTATCTTTAATGGAATCTACGAGTAAGAACCATTTATTTATGAGAGATACATGTGTGGTCATGCAAACAAGTAAATTTAGATTAAGAGTCAACCATCATCATTAACCCTTCCCAATATGGGATCAGCTAAATTTAGATTAAGAATGCAATTCCTAAACAAACATAATTTAAGTGCACATTTAGAATTGCAATAAATCACGCATCTCCATTTTGTGGTAAGAATAACAGAAATGAACATTTCAAATTATCTGATTTGTTTCTCTATTTCCTCTTAGACATTGTGGCAGGTTTGCAAATTTTGCTAATTCTATCAAACATAATGCTATTATATTCAGTTCAGCATAGACCATAATGTCCAAAATGTAATACATGTTGAACCTCTTCCTTTCCACCTTAAATAAACTAAAAGCTATTAATATTTCCAATAATAATCCTTTAAAATGATTTTGAAAGAACAAAATCAAAAGGAAAGTAAAATAAGCTGAGTATTCGAACTTCATGTTGGAAATAATTTTCCCAGCCTACAACAAAAACGTCTGAAAATGAGAACCTTAGAGTTTTTTAGGGAATTTAATCGCCGTATAAATCAACAAAACTGAAGCTAACCTCCTTGTGCATTGCATTTGCACCAGCATGTGTCCCATCACCGCCCAATACAAAGAGCATGTTTATACCTCTCGCCTGAAACAAAAGGATTTTTTTTTTTTAATTAGATCCACGGAGTTAGAGAACGTGTTGAAGAAAAATTTTGATTCAACTTTAAATAATAAATTCAATGGCGACCCTCCCCAGCCTCTTGCCAAAGTATCATATTACCTGTATAATGTTGACAATTTCCTCAATGTCAGGACCTCCTCGTGAAACTCCCAATATACTTCCGCCGCTTAAGTGAATGGTCTGCACCGCTTTCCTTGAAAGCTGTGGGTTTCAGCAGTAAATCAATGGCTTTGAACCAGAATAATTTAAGTAACACTATGGCATAACTTTGAGTAAGACCGCAAGTGAACCAAGCGGTTGACAAGATACTCGTGGCTCAGCTTGATTACAACTCGTTCATAATCGTTTTTTTAAGTAACCAAACAAGTTTAAACAATTTTTTAAATACTCAAACTATTAAATAAACAAACGTGAACGGCTATGTGTTCAGCTCGTTTATCTTCATGAACAATAATAAAATATCAATTAAAGCTCGTAAACAAGCTTGATATGAAACTCGTTAAGATGACTGATTAAATCATTATTTTGTATATTTTCACATAATTTTTAGTTTTATTATAAAAAATTTATTCTTATTAAATAAAAAAATTAATTACATTTTTTATGTTATAATATTTCATCATAATGAATTCGTTCATAAACAAAAAGTATTTATTCATGTTTGTAATATTTTTTTGTTTAAAGTGTTCATGAACAAGCTTGTTTATAAGAATAATCATTTTATGAGCTTTTTTGTTCATAAACGGGCTCATTTGATAGATCGAAATCACCCCCTATATATGTTCGCGAATGGGCCTAGGAGATTGTTTGCTAGTAGGCTCGATAAGACTCGTTTGTTTAAAGCTCGATGAGCATAAATGAACCGAACATGAACCAAAGACAATTCAAACATGAACTTCTATTCTTTTAACCGAACAAGGTTTGAATACAAACAAAAAAGTTGTAATCGAGCTCGGACCAAACTTGAACAAGCTAATAATAAACAAGCACCTACTCGGCTTGACTTGATTTATTTGCAGCCCTAACTTTGTGTTTGTATGTTTGGTTGCTAGTTAATGGAATGGAAAAAAAGTGGCAAGGGGACCGTAGCAGATTTATTATCAAGCCTTAAATTCATTGGAATTTCATTTCCTTTGCTCTTTGCAGACAGCCAGCACAACGTTAGGCAAGAAAATACATACCGGTATTTCAGGTTCTTCTGCAGAAAAACCTCTGTAGCCATGAGGTATCCCAACTATCTTTTTCACGCCATACATTTCAAGTGTTATAACTATCTGCAGTAGGATAACGAAGGTTTAGCAATAGATTTATAAAAATTCAAATTAATGACAACAATCATGACAATTTAATAATTTAATTTAACTTAATAATCATATCAATACCCCACGTAGTGGGACAAAGGCTTGATATTGTTGTTGTTGTAATAATCACAACAATCACCTAAGAAGATAAAAAAGTTAATTTAATAAATTTTTAAAAACATAAGATCTAGGCCCTAATTTTTCTATAGTCAGCCGTATTAATGCATTTTGTTCTTATAATAACGCATTTTGTTCTTATAATAACGAAACAAAATCAAATAATTCCTAAGCATTTTTTTAACATCAAGATGTAATCCAACAGCTAAAATTCTAAATCACTTAGTCTATAAGTGCCCTGCAGAGCAGAAAAACCCGAAGTTCTGATCAGGATCCTAAATTATACAGGACTTGAGATAATAAATACAATGATCAGCAACAATCACCTGTCGAATAACATCATTCAGCCCAGGACAGAGTCCTCCACATGTCACTATTGCAGCATTCACATCACCTGGTCTGAAAAATATTTCCTTTCTTGGTCCTGCTCGATGGATCCTGGGATTCATAAAGCCTTTTTTGTTACTTTTTTGTGCATTCATAAATAAATATGCTTTAAGACATTTATGTTTACTAACTTATTTAAATTATAGAGATGATCCATTACATATATATTCCAGGTTTCATACACTTTGACGCAAAGCCAGAATAACCTAGCAAATTAAACCTAAATGATGTATAAACTGATAGTGGGGTTGATTATAAAAAATCATGCTCTGCATTGCCAGTACCACTTGTGCCTCTAAGAAGAATTTAGATGATAATGAATCATGCTATCATTTTAGTGTCGCTAGCCAACTTCCTCGGACTCCAAAAAGTCCTATTGTAGTAATTGCTGCCGCCCACTCTAGACACTTGAGAGATGCCACATGGGCACTTACTATATGGAACAATAACCGCAACTCGAAGTTCCCTAGAACTAGGTTTTGTAATCAAGTTAAGCCGAACAAAGCTAAGCACACCATGGATTGGACTTGGCTAGGTCATACAAAATGTTATCATACTCGGCTCAAACTCGAGCGGAACTTTCACATATATGTTCTTGCAAGTCTTGTTTGGATTTTTCTATGGTCAAGCTTGGCTTATACTTGCCAAAATTAATTGAGTGGTACTTTAAAAAGCTAATAAACAAACTTTTAAAAAAAAAAGGAATGCTCAATTTATTATACTCACAAATAATTTTAAACGTCTAAATAAAGAAGCATCTCAATAAATCTGAAATTTGACCTTACTATTAACACCAATAAAACAAGCATCACTTAAACAAGATAATAAATAAATAGTGCAAAAGCCTCCTAGCAATCATAAAACATTAAAAAATATCAACAAACTTATTAATTGAAATAAATAAATAAGAAAATATTTCATCAAATCAATATGCAGATTAGCTAATAATAGCTTAATTAGTTAAAAAAATCAAAAAGCTAAAAAATGAACATAAATATTTACCTAAATAAGAAGCATTTTGTGAAAAATAAAAACAAGCTTACACCAACAACTCAAAATGGTTGCATCACTTTGATCTCATATAAATCAGGATGATTTAAAAATCAATAAAAATAACATGCTTCAAATTTCACTATGTTATGAACTATCGTATTTGTTGCCCTTCCTCCTGGCAACATCTTCTTAGAATAGTGTGCATTAGGACTTTTTTTTTTACCCCTGAGAGAGATAGGTCGCAAAAGAGGGTGGGCGAGAAATGGTAAAAAAGGAAGAGATCTATAGAGCGAGATATGAGATGATCAGGAGAGCAAAAGTCTGCAAGCACGGGAAAAGACATTATCGATGGTGAGCTAAATAAGCCGACATTATTAGCTAGGGTCAAGTGGAACTATAAAAATAAGATTTGAGAGTTAAATACCCTAGACAAATATACAAAAATAATATATTTCTACTAAATAAGTAATTAAACCATTTATATTTAAATAAAATTTATTTAAATAATATACAAGCAATTATCGAGCTTAATATCAAATCTTAGCAAGTTACTTGTTGAATAACACAAGCTAGTTCGTGAACATGAATAAATAATTTGAAATGTATTCAATCTTTAGTTCATTTAGCCGTCGATAATTTTAAAAAAAAAATCAAATTCATTTAATTAGTAACTTGAACGAATATTAATCAAGCCAAATTTGAGTTGTTTGTCGAGTATATTAGTTCACTTATAGCCCTCCCAAGAATGTTGTTATTTCTCTCTATCATAGATCATCGTCGGTCTTAAGAATCATAATGGCCTTCTAGCAAGTCAACTATCTGATGTCTAACATGAGCACTGGGCTGCCTCCCAGCTTTTCACATGTCCCATTGAGTCCAACTCCACCATATTGGTCACTCCTGCTTCTTGTGTCGCAACCCATCTAGAGATGACATACAACTGATCAAGTGCCTACAAATACCCCCTCTTCGATCCTTCATGGAGGATACTAACTCAATCCATACAAATATGATGTTGTATTCTAACATGAGAGAGCTAGAGTAAAAATTCTGTAATTGAGAGACTTATAATCTTCTTCATCATATGGTGAAATATATGCATGACGTCTCTTTATATTGCCTCTCTCCTTCTCCCCTCATTCTATCTTTTGAATGGACGGCCTATGCCTCCATCATGAAGTAACCCAACATGAATACTCAATCTCCATGTTTCATCTAACCTAGACCTCAGAGGTATAAGTAAGCCAAGACAACTCAAACTTCACTCACTAAGAAGCTCGTGAGTCGAGCTTATAAAGTTGCGAACTCAAGCTCAAATTCCAGCATGACAAGGTTCGACTTGTCGGCTCACAAGTTAGTTCGTATATTAAGCTATTGGTCACTAATACCAATGGTACCAATCTCTAACTCATCCCTGCTACATGAACTGTACTAGCCATCCTAACAACATGAATGCATTTAATGAAAAAGATCAAACTGGCCTTCCTCATTTATCTTTTCTTCTCAATATCTATCAAGTTAAATAGATATTGTTTAATCTATAGTCATATCGATGCATTTTCAGGTGATCTCCCGCGGCGAACTCTTCTTCTCCAGCCATTGGAAATGCCACACTTAGCTACTTCAATTACTTCATCATCTTCTCCAACCAATGGTCACGTCGATAATTTCTGGTGAGCTCCTGCGATGGCTTATTATTTGGTTCAAGCTCACAAGCCAACTCACAAGCCTATCATTATTGATGCAAGCTGAGCTCAACTCGAGCTCAACCCAACGAGCGTACATGAGAGTCGAGCTCAAAGTAGGCATGACTTGAGCTCAATTCAACTCATTGATACCCCTATCGAACCTCTCCTTGCTCCTACTGTGAATCGATGACAGATTCAGCCCTTTCAGTTGTCAATCCATTAAAGAAAATTCTAGTGTTTCACATCTTTTTAGTGCTCTCTTTGTGGCCCATTTGAGTTGGTTGAAAACTCAATGGAGGAGTATCTAGCCACCAATAGCCAATTAAAGTTTGTGCACCATATAACAACTGTGGAAAAAGTTCATCCCATCTAGTAGACATGTATGTGACAATGTCAGTTTATGGAGATCTCCAAAAAAATGGACCTCATTTTGCATTCATCTCTCTATCCTTCCATGCCTGCTCTAATTATCATGATTGCTTATGCACAACCCTCTACCCTAACCCCAAATGTTGCACAAGAGGATGTTTCTGAGTCATTGCCAACAAAATCATGATGCAAATCCTCATCACTGTTCCCTATTCTCTAACCATTGCCTAATGAGTCACCTTTTGGAGGATCCATTGTACCAACATTGTTCTCCTATTAAGTACGTGACTGATGATTCACCATTCACAATTGAAATCCTAGACAATCCCTCACTAAAAAGAGTTTGAAATGCCCATGCTCAACCATTACTAGGGTCTGAATAACTCCATTAAACAAAAAAAAATTTGATGATGTTAAGGCCCTAATGCTGACCAATGATAAGCTTCGATGCAAGTATTCACAGTGAAGTTATTGAATGTTATGTGTAAGTGGTTCATATGTTTCATTACATGTGATATCATGCCCTTTGACAAGCTCTACCGACATTTCATTATTGAGTTTGCTACTTCAAAATGTTCCCTGATGTCGGCATAAACTCTTCTTAATGTCCTATAAGGGAAGTGTTGATCCCTTTAAGAATACAATCTTTGTTTCACCCAGGAGAGTTAGGAGGTCTCCACCTCCAAGATGGTTGTAGCAAAGCTTGCTCTGAGAATGGGTCTCTAAGACTTGCCACTCAAATATTTTATCACAAAGAAATCATCATCCACCATTGTTGAAATGTTAGAAAGGGCATCCAAGTTCATTGGATTTGATGAAGGAATGGTGTAGCTGATGCCAGCAATTTCCCCACTACCAATACTCCCAACCCACAATAACTTTATCAATCGAATAGACTTAACTAACGTTACTAACCTCACCATAACACCACAACAACCAAAGCCAAGAAGATTATTATTGTTTTGGTCTAACTGATCCTATACAATGTTGTTCTACCAATTCATCTATGAGATCAATAAGTCCTCATGATCATTAAAGATAAAGAGTACTATTGATGACCAATGTCACTCTACCACTACAACAACTAATTTTTCATATCTAATCAAGATCCCTCAGTTTACAAATAACTGTCAGTTTACAAATAACTGTCAATATCAAAGCCCTCTAAAGAAGTACCTGGCCAGATTAACTTGTCAAACCAATCCAACCAATAGCTCAACTCAAGACCACCAATAGTGAATGAACTCCTAGTTCAACTAGTCTTCCAGCCATAAGTCAAGCTTTGGTCATCATCTCCTAAGTTGAAGATAATGGCCCCAACCATTGGTGCCCGCCGATTGTCTCTGACAAGAACTCATTTGTCAAGAATTACATCGATCTACTCAAAATCTTCAACTTCTTAGTTTACTACTTAATCTCTCCTCCAGCAGTTGGGGTATGAGAAGAATGCATGTATCACAAGTCCTCCCAACCAACAATATTCATGCACTAGCAAATCTTGTCAATGTTGACCTCTAAGCATTAACCCAGCAGGAACAAAAAAAATCAAATTAAAATACCTGTAAAACCACTGGATCCTCGAATCATGCCGAGATCGCGTCGATTCGGCGCCGTTCGCATCACTTCCCTGCAAACCCGGCGCGCAAATCGCGCCGATTCGGCGCCGCTCGCGATCTCTTCCCGCAAATCCCGCAGCAGCTCCTCGATCGTCGCCTCGTTCGCGTCGTTAAATAGAAGCCGAGCTCCTCTCCCGTTCGCTGCTCTCTACTCCCCGATCTTCTCAGCTCCACACACGACTCTCGCTCTCTGCTTCTCCTCCCGACATCCCCAACCTCCTACTCTCTCTCCGATCCCGACCGAACCCTGTCGCTCTTCCTCCTTCCTCTCCGACCAAATCCCGTCGACTAACCTAGCCGACACCTGCTCCGACCCCCCGTCCGACTCCAACAACCCGCAACTCCTGCGGGTTCGTTCGATCCAGAGGAGCCGAGAGAGGGATAG